AAAAAATGTTATGCAGAAAAATATACTGAACAACTTTTGCCTTGTGGTCATATCCAAAAACGTTACTGAATTTAAAATAAAAAATCACATACGTTTCATGTTTTGCTTTTGGAAAAAAAAAACAAACAAACAGCTTTTGCCTCAGGAAAATTAGTTTTTGAATTTTTAAAATTCGAAGACGAAGTCAAAGAATAAAATACAAAATTGCGCAATTTAGATCTCGAAAAGATCTACAGCCCCATATTTTTTTATTTATTTTTTGATAAATTTTTAAGGTCACAAAAAATTCCTGAAAGTTGCGGCCGCACCCAACCGCGGCCGGAGCCGCGGCGACCGTGATCACGTCTGCCCTCCGAGCTCGACCCCGCGGACGCGTCCACAGGTGTTTCATAGGTTGTGGGAGCAGGTGATGCGTGAGATAGGGCTTCAGCGGATCAATGCGATCTGTACAGAATGCGGAGGTCAACAAGAAAGCGGCTCAGATCTTAGAGAGGCGGACTGACAAAGATGTTGCGAAGATACCGTGGGTGTCATGTGGAGTGCACTATTGCAGTTTGTTGCTGAAGAACTTGAGCAGTTTGTCATGGGTGAAGGACATGGTGAAGACGGTAAACACGATTATCAAATTCATAAGGAACCACCACGCTACCCACGGCCTCATGATGACTATCGACAACTCCTTGTCATTGTTGCGCCCAACAGAGGTCCAGTTTGGGTCTATAAATCAGATGCTGAGTAGGTTGGTGAACAGGGAGGGCGTGCTAAATGAGATGGTGGATAAGGATTATGGTGCGAGTTGGAGGGCATTAAGGTGGTCCTCAGCAAAGTTGCAAAGGAAGGCCGACCTCGTCTATTACTCAGTGAGGTGTGAGAGTTGGTGGGATAAGGTGAAGAAAATTGTGGTCATCATGGAGCCGGTGTTCAACCTGCACAAGAGAATGGACAAGGAAGGAGTATCTCCCACCAACCTTGTGGAGTACGACGCTCTCATTGCAAGGAGATTGAGAAATGTCGTACTCACGAAGGAGCGCGAAGACGTGATGGTGAAGGTGAAGGACCGCGTGCAGATGATGCGACAACCAGCACATGCAACTGCCTTTCTTTTGGATCCACGAAGGAGACAGTCTGGCTGGCTCAACGATCCAGACAGTCCCCTCGTGCAAAATGCAATGCGTTTCTTGCTGAGGCAGATTGGGGGGACGTGGGATTCACAAAAACACATTGACATGTGGGGGTATCTCTACGAGTTCTTGAGAGAGTCTGTGGAAGGTGAAGTCAGGAAAGATAAGCATATGTTGCCCCCTCTTGCTACAACGGCAGCCACAAAACGTGCTCTGGCGGATTGGTGGGCGCTGCATGGTGGAGATGTTTCGGATTTGTAGGCGATCGCCATCGCTGGGAATGTGGAGCACTGCAACATATGCGGAGCGGAACTGGGCATCTATGGACTTTATCCAGTCAAAGAGGAGGAACAACCTCTCACCGGCGTCCTTGGAGAAACTTGTGTACATTCATTGGAACACGCAGTTGCTTCGTGTTCGAACGAGTCAGGACAATGGCTACGTGGATGTATGGGGGTCCTTCTTTGAGCCATTGATGGAGCCGACAGAGGAGGACCAATCTCTCGAGGATGGCACAACGGAGAAGACTGTGGATGAAGGGGAGCCTCAGGACGGAAAGAGGCAAAAGAGGTTGAAGAAGGCTCCGAAAGGACGGATTCCCCACGACCTGTTGGATGAAGACTCAAGTGGGAGCAGCGAGGTTGAGGATCTGATATGGAAGGGGAAATGTTGGAATGAGTCTACTTCGGAGGATAGCGGTGGTGAGGATGATGTTGGTGAGGACTCCGACTTCGAGTTGGGGGTTGTGCCAGCGGTCCCCGTCACTACTTACGTCGGTCGGACGCTCGGGAGGCGAGAGAAGGAGGCAGAGGTGCAGCCTTCAGAACCTGTGGAGAGAGTTGACACGGACATCGAGTTCTTGATACACCATGTCCCTGATGGTGACCCTGATGGTGACCGTGATGAGGACGAGGACGAAGCAGATAGGGCAAAGGCTATGGCGGATAGAGATGCTGCCCTTGTTCACATGCGGATGCTTGAGGAGGCGGCTCGGAGTGCTGCTATCCCCACCAGGAGGGAGAGAGAGAGACAACGCAAACAGATCAGCAGCCTGAGAAGCAGCATCAGGAAGAAAAAGATCAGCAGCAAGAAAACGAAAATATGCAGCAAGAGGGAGAGGAGCCCCAGGGAGAGCAGCCCTAGCAACACGAAGAGGAAAAAAATCAGCAGTAGGAGGGAGTTGAGCTGCTGGAACATGCCGAAGAGAACATGCAGCAACAGGGAGAGGAGCCGCAGCAACCGCCAACCATGGTGTATGCACGAAGAGCCCGGGCACATGCACCGCAACAGCCTGCACCGCCGGAACAACAGGAAGTCCAAACGCTAGTGCCTGCAGCGGCACACCACACCGGCAGACCCCCCTACCCTGCACAGAATGAGGTTGTGCAGCATGACAACCTTTGGAGAAGTAGGGCAGGGCGAGAGAGGAAAGCTCCGGTCGATGAACACCCCGAAAAGCTGCGTCGTGGTCGTGGGAGGCCCCGCAAGGCTAAGTCGGGGGATGCTGCTGCAAAAAAAACAAAAAAAAAGTGGCCCGGCAGGGCCCGCAAATTGCGAGTGGAGGAGGATGACCCCGAATCGGATGAGGGCAATGCGTACTCGCCCGACGAGGAGATGAGTGAAAGGGATTCCGAATGTGTGTGTGTGTGTGTGTGTGTGTGTGTGTGAGAGGGAGAGGGAGAGAGAGAGAGAGAGAGAGAGAGAGAGAGAGAGATCTGGAACTGCTGCAGATTTTTTACTTGAAGAAACTTTGAATCTCATCTTCAAGGATTGGACATCAATTGACCCCAGCATCCCTATGCGGGGCCCAGAGTGTTTCCCAGATCCTTTCCCCCCCCATCCTTTGGCATTGGAAGTTGGGCTCTAGAAGTTCGGGGCAGCGGATAAGAAGAGGGTAGGAATCGACGGGGAAGGGAAAGAACGGACCCGCTGGTGCCCCCCAGTGATCCCGCCTGGCCCCAGCCCCTCGTCCCTCACGGAGAGGATAGCCAGACAAACTGTGCCAGATACGCAGATACCTTAGATAATTGTGCAGTTTTGCTCTGCTTTTTTCCCAATTTTTTCTAATTTTTCCTTCTCAGTCTTCTTTGCTTTTTTCTCAGTATGAGACACTTTCAACGCTGTGTAAATAATGGGGCGCTGGACCCGGTTTCCAGCAGGTGATGCTCCCCACCAATAGATGGAGCGTTTTTCAAAAAAAAATAAAAAAAATCTGGTGTTAAACCCAATACCCTTCTACTGACTCTCCCCCTCATCCCCCGGTCCTGCCTTGGCACCTTCCACCCCCCGATTCTCGTTCCCTGCTCCCATTCCCCATCCTTCTTCCCTGCCGCTCCCCCCCCCCCCCCCCCCCCCCCCCCCCCCCCCCCCCCCCCCCCTACTGGTGAGACGGCCAAAGACACAGGACAGGAGACCTCCCTAGTCAAATTAGCAACAAAGAAGGTTGGGAACCGGACAGTCATACTGACAACAACGGTAACAGCAACCAAGGATGACCAGCCTGAAAAACCAGGCGAGGCGGAGAACTGAAAAAGAGCGACCATCCCCTTTTCTACACATTAGGGCAATGGGCCATCACTCGAACAACAAGCAGATTCCGAGAGGAAATGAGAGGAAAGGGGATAATATAGAAGGACAAGGAACAAGCGGGGAGGCTTCAAGCTCCCAACAAACCCCCCCGGATCCCGCCTCCCCCTCCCCCAAGGAACTGCTCAAGGAAATGACAGAGGTTCAAAAAATACAAAGCCGTTCTGCCTCCACTTGGGCTGGGAAGCTCAAACGGATGTATTGTGGTCAAACTCTGTCAGTCAAGAGGGACAAAGAAGGGGAGGAAGACCTGGAGATTCCTCTCGATAATCTGACAACAGCGTCGGCGTTTTTTATGTCAAAATTATTGGCCTCCCCTGAAGATAGACTAATTAGCCAAGGGGGCAAGAAACACCGGGTCAAAGCCCTACAGGAGGCCATTTTAAAAGAACGAGACGCGGTATATACACGACATGCAAGCGTCTGGGTCTTTTACGATGATGCAGCGTACAAGTCCACAAATGACAAGATTGTTTGGATCAGGAAGAGGCTCGCGACTCGGAAGAGGGAGCACGGGATTTATTCCTGATCCAACCAAACTCGTCAACAGTTTTTACGATACTCTGCATGTATGACACAGACAAACGAGTGATGGACACATGGCGCAATATCCCCTGCGGGCKATCAGAGRTGCGTATCTTCCCCTGGTCCCCGCCCAAACAACCCAAACCAGAGGAGAGGAGGGACCAGCTAATGGCCGATTTCTACTGGGTYGAGWTTYGTCATRTCCCCGTYGAGATACAAGGCGCCTTTGTGCAGGAACTCGCCCAAAAGTATGAAATCGTGGATTTTATCGACCCCCTCCCTCCACATGTAGCTTCACGGAACGACCACCTCATGGTAGCATTGGACCTACCAAAGGATCATATTTTTGCGATAGACGACACGATCGATTTTCGAATAKGGGGGAGAGACTTYCGAATCCACACARCTCACAAGACCAGGCCYTGGTGTGTCAAATGYCAGGYGTATGGCCACCTGCCGTCCRAGTCCGACTGTCCRCATCACCCGGCCAGAYRGATSAAGACTACGGGCAGACTGCTGCGAGACCCCTTCCAGACCACACGATGGAGAACGGTTGACCCGGGGCACGAAGGTTGGGTCTATGTAGACGAACCTCGAGAAGGAGGGGGAGTAAAGGGGTGGGAATGGGAAAAGAAAGAAGAGGTGAACYGGGACACTAAGCCACCWGAGCACTGGATTCCCCCACAGACYGYAGAGGCTCGCATGAAAGGAAATATTGCTCCGTCCCCCCTCCCCCCCCCKCCCCCCCCGCAAGGACCGGGCGAGGGAGGGGAAGGAGGGGGAGGAGGGGTGGGTGGAGGGGAGAGGAAAGAACCTCAGCTTCAGGATGTCACCACCTTACAGGCGGCRRGAGAGACAAAGGAAKGAGGGGTAGGRGGAGGAGGAAGGAGAGAGCCTCGCCCCCATGACTTTATCACCCAACAGGATGAGGGAGAGGCTTGGCTCTTCCCCCCCCCGAATAAGACAGTTCGCCTAAATAAAACAACTAAAATGAAGCACACACAAAAAAAACACAGCGCTGCAAACAAAGGAAAATCGGTCAATCAGTTTGTGGCCTTGATAAACCAAGGTGGAACAGAAACAGAGTTGCAGCAAACAGACACAATCTAGAAGATGGACACCCGACAGGAGGAAGGAGGAAAACAGACGGATGCGTTGGGCAAACAAGGGGGAAATGATTCACCAGGAGGAGAAGGGGAAGACAAAGGGGAAACACAGCGGACACAGGAGGAGAGAAACTCCCCAGAAGCCATAATCAAGACAGACCCTTTCTCTYGGATCTTTGAACCCCAGCCAATGGACTGGGAACCGCCGACAGCCCCCCCCGACGTGGAGATGACAGAAAATACCCCGAAGGACTGGAATCAGTCGGCCGAGCAGAACATGGAAACTAAATTGACAAGCTTGGCGGACTGGCTGATTAGTCGTCTCAAAATGACATACCCCGATCAGACAGTTTTTTTTTGGGACGAGACTTATGTCCACCTCTTTCCACTGTTGGATGGGAGCGCGACTTTGAAACAGGCACTAGAACGGGGCCTGCCTCCAGAGATCGGCTGGGAGCAAGCTCTGCTAAGGATATGGAATATAGTGCACGAGCACTTTCTCCCCCCGAACACAAACACTGAACGCACACAGGCCCGGGACCCCCAAGTCGCCGTAACGGAGGAGCTGAAAGCCAGCACTGACAGCCCCACCCCTCCCCCGAACCACAAAGACCAAGCTAAGGACGCAGGAAGGGACGAAGCGGAGCAAACCGAGCCCTCCCGGAGGGCCAAGCTGCGCCACCTTGTGGAAAAAGGAATGTATCGGGAGGCCCTCCCCGAGGGAGACAAGGTTTTGGTACTCCCTATCAGGAGGAGGGGGGGGAAGTAGGAGCTGGGACTATCGCCGGCTGAAGCCGACGACACATACACCCTGTCGTACGATGGGCTTTCCTTGCATGGGTGGCACACACAGAAGGACGGAGCACTACAACTCTCCGAGGTCAAACAGTTCACCACTGAACATTATGAGCCCGGGGCCATGGCCACTATTAGTGTGTCCTCAACAAACCTCAAGATGGAATATAAGGACTTATACGTGAGGTTCGAGGATAACAAAGACTCAGGCTTACACTGGGTCTCACATGCTGCTCTGTTAGAGACCCACCAGCTGAAGGTGAAGCCCAGCCGAATTTGGTCAGTGGACGACACTCTCACATGCATGTGCACGATCCTACGCAAGAACATCCTGGGGGGAGCGGTGGATTGGGACGCACAAGAATGGCAAAGGCTGGGATAACCTTCGAAGGAAATGGGTGGAAACCTGATAAGTAGAATCAAATGGACTGGATTGAAAATTTGTATCAGAAAAACACAGTATGGAGGAGGACGCTCCAGCAAGCGGACCTGGATGTTAGGTCCATTAATGTGAACGGCCTAGCATCCCCCAGTCAGGAAAAGACCCAGGCACTCTGGGACCTCATGCGAGGGGTAGGGGGGAAGGTGTGACCCGACGTGGTATGCATACACCGGGGAGAGCGGGTGTCGCAATATGGGTCCCCCCGGAGTCACGCTTTGAAGTCCTCCACTGGGAGAAAGATGAAGAGGACGGTCGTTGGATCTCCGTATTGGGAATGCTTGAGCTGGAGGTGATCTGTATAGTCTTCCTTTATGCCCCTAACACCGCCCGGGAAAGACGAGATTTTTTGAAAAAAATAAAAAGGGTGCCTACCCCCGGCGTTCCGGTGGTGTTGGCAGGGGACTATAACGCAGCTCCTGACCGAGGGCTGGACAGATGGAGAATACAGCCATCCGCAACCCACAATGCGGAAGAGGACGAAAGCATGATAGGGGACTTCTGCTCCTCCCTCCAGCTCTTCGACACGTTCAGACGAAGTCATCCCGCAGAGAAAGTTTTCACCTGTGTTAAGCATAATGACCCGAACAGGCTATCCAAGTCTCGCATTGATCTGATTCTGGCTTCAAAGGATATGGTAGGCGGATTGACTGCAACTGCCATATTACCTGCGAGCCCATACCCTGGCCTGGACCACAGAATGTGTCTGGCCGTCTGGACATTCCGCAAATGCCCAGATCAAGGGGCCAGCTACTACAAACTCAACGCCTCACTACTCGAGATGAAATCCTACCAAGAATACCTGCGACAAGTCTGGGATTTTTGGAAAGAAAAGAGACAATTGCACGACTCACAAATTGCATGGTTCAATAATGGCCTCTTCTTCCTGACCAGGAAAAGTAATGAATTTTCTAAATATTTGGCGGCCAAGCGACACCAACAGGAAA